GCCCCCTCCCCTCCGCTCGGCGGCCCCCCTCCGGGCACGCCTCGCCGCCGCCCTGGCCGCCCGGAGGACGCGTCGCAGCTCCCTGCGGTGGTCGTCACGGCGAACGGCGCCCCGGGGGGGAAGTCTTAAGTCGAGCCTGTCCCCCTACAGGGGGATTTTCGACGACAAATAGAACCTACCCCCAAAATAGTCCACAAAGGACAGAAAAATAGTCGGGGGACTATGTTTAGAGTATCTTTGGCCTTTCTGGCGTGTTTTTGGGGGTATTTTGCATTTTTCGTCGAAAATCCCCCTGTAGGGGGACACGCCCGACAGAAAGGTACCCACACCTCTACCCTTATCGGGGGCGGCAAAGCGGGGGGTGATGACTAGGCGGGGGGCTATCATGGCGGGTGCCATAATGTTTCCCCAGACTTTATGGCGCCTCTTCTTGTTTCATTACGCCCCTGGCCCCCCCCGCTGGGCCGCGCACATGCCGCCGGTCATGATTTGCACCCCCCCTCTTGGACACCCCTTTCTTGGCCGCTCCCGAGAAGGTACCCACACCTCTACCCTTTCCTCGTCCTCCCTTTTTGGGCCTCCTCTCGAGGAGGAGGAGGAGGAGGAGGAGGAGGAGGAGGAGGAGGAGGAGGAGGAGGAGGGAGGCCCTCTTCGCCACCGCTGGAGTCGCCTCGAAATCCTGGTCAGAACGCACCCTGGGAGAGGTCAGGGAGAGGCGGTATCGGTAAGGGGGCGAGGAGGGGGCCGAGGGGACCCATGAGGGGGCCGAGGGGGGAGGGGGCAAGCCAGATGCGCTCGCGCCATATCTGACATCCTACCCCTCCCACCCACCCCTTCCCACTTCCCTGATGTTTTCTATATCCGCCGTCGCCTGTCTCAGCGGACCTGGACATCCAACAAAGACCCCATCGTGTTTTGTGCAGTCGGGAAAAGGGAGTTGCGTAAATTGGATGAGGTGGAGGAGGATGAGGTGGCGGATGAGCAGGAGGACGGCAGGAGGGACAGGAGGATGAATAATAATAATGATGACGATGACAAACATCAGCAGCAGGAGCTTGAGTACAAAGAGCGGGAGAAGCAGGAAAACAAGGGGAAGGCGGAGGAGGGGAAAGACGGGTGTCGACAACGATGTGGAAGGACTCGGATCCAGGACAATGGTCCCTGCTGGGGCGAGAGTGCCATTCTTAACGACGGGAGCAAGCGCCGATCCCAAAATGAGGCACACGCTGCAGTGGCCGCATTTCTTTAAAGAACCTCATGCGACCAGATAAACCATTAGAACATCAATGTTTGAAACCATCTGTGTTCAACAAGCAGTACGCGGTGGGGAGCGGGCGAATCCCCAGCCATCAGCGGAGGAAACGGAAGAGTAGTTTTCACATAATGAAATTGTCGAGGGGGGGGCGAGGGGGGCGAGCCACGATTGGATCCGCCTCGAAAGGCGGGTCAGGAGGGACCCCGGGAGGAGTCCCTCCTGACCCGGTGGGTGCGGGCATGGTGTTTGGGTTCTACGAACCTTTCGTTGTATGACTATAGGAATGCCGGGACGGTCGGTCCCTGCTCAAAACACTGCAACAGCACTGTGTGTGAGTGTTTGCTGTCTGTTCTGGCTTCGGGGAAAAGTGTACGGCTCACCCCAATAGTCTGGCGGGACGCCCCGGGAGATCATGCAGTGAACGGTCTGCGCGTTTTCACTCGTATGCTGCGCATAGTCCGGAGGGTCCCGAGGACAGTCCACTCAACTTCAACGGCATCCTGATGTTGCAAACCGTTTAGCATGCAACGTGAAGTCGTCTGTATCGCGGAGCTATCAGTTTATAGTATAGCAGTGTCTGGTGTGTGTGTGTGTGTGCGTGCCTCGAATATGTTGTTCTGCTGGTGCGATGCGCCGTTGAGCGCGTCGGATGTATAGGGGTCACATGCTCTTACGTCAAGCGGGGAGGCGCAGTACAATTTTGCAGTATGGTTGTGTCGCTTGGCGCATTACATGTGCGATGTTATGTGCCAGGCCGTTGCGTGCAATGCATGTTGTGCACAGGACCGCGTGCAACGGTTCGCGTGCAACGCCTGTCGTTTGGATTGGGACGCGTGATGATTGTGCTGCGGTGCGGCGTGGCCTTTGCGCCAGCCAGGGCCTGCGCGCGTGGTCTCGTATCCTGGGCGTGCTCCTCCCAGGCTCGAAAATGCGCGGCGTGGCGCAGTTCGGAAGGGACGCGGCGAAGACGACCTCGCAGAGCCCGGACCTGCTGATGAGCGAACCGATCGCTTCGCGTTCGCACTTCAGCGTCGTCTACGAGACCGCCAACGACCGGTACTGCCTCATGGACGCCGGCTCGAAGTGGGGAACCTTCGTGAGGGTTTCCGCGGGTAAAGATCCATGCTGCGCAGATGGGGTCGAAGTAGACGGGGTCTGTGGACCGCGCCGTAGCGCCGATGCATCGGCGATGCGGCTCGATTTTGATTTCGGTATTCTCCATGCCGACGTCGCCGATGCATCCCCGATGCGTCGCCGATGCATCGGCGATGCATCGGCGAAGCGGCACGATCCTCCAGCCGCGTCCACTCGGATCCCATGTGGGCGGCTCCCAGCAGAGAGGCCTTGCGTCAAGTTGTCCACCGTGGGGGCGGCTGTCCCAGGTGTGGCTTGTTGCAAGGGCTCCCACGAGGGCGCGAAGTTATTCGCGCTTCGCGCTTCGCGGTCCTCGTTCCTTCTCCCCCTCCTCCTCGTCCTCCTTTTCTCCCTTTGGGGGGGCGGCGCGAGAGCGCGAAGTTATTCGCGCTTCGCGCTTCGCGGAGCGCGTAGCGCGAAGTTGGGAGCCCTAGTTGTTGTGTCGTGGCAGCACTTTGGCAGGCGACCACCCCCCCGGGAATCGGCGCCCCCACAGTGGAACACCTGATTCTATGTGTTCGTCGTGCGTCGAAGGTTACCGAACCTCACAAGCTGAGCTGCGGCGACTGGTTCCACATCGGGAAGGTCTGATCAGTCTCCTCCACCTACGCCCCCCCCCGCCGCCCCCTGGTTGCCTCCCCCCGATGTTCCACTTTCCCTCGCACCATCTCCTCCATGCTTCTTCGCCCTCCCCTGGACCCCTCTCATCCCCCCTTGCTCCCGCGAGGGTATGGAGGAGGGATGATTTTGAAAGGCGAATCATTTTGAATGTAAGCGCGTCGAAAGACATAACGAATCGAAGGCATTGTGTTTTGCTGATTTTGGTGAGCTCTCTGCCTTCCGTAGGACGAAGGGAGCACCTGGGGGCACCTTGGCCGCGAAGGCCGAGTTCGTGGAGGGGATGGAGGAGGGAGGTGGTAAGGGATGGACTAGAAGGGCGCGGGAGTGGAAGTCCGCAGCGGAGGCAAAAGGGACGGGAGAAAGGCTGCTTCGGCGCCCACGCCCGGGCCGCTGAGAGGCTGGCGCCCCCCCCCCCCTACCCCCTAGAATCGGAGGCGTCCGCCCCCTTGGCTCTGGCGGGGGCCGCCCTTGGTCCCGCCCGGTGACGGCCGCCGCCTCGCCATCCTCGGTCCGGCCGCCGGCTGCCAAGATCTCGACCCCGAAACGATGCGCCCAGTCGCGGCAGGCTCGCGTCGCGTCGACCCGCGGCGACCCCGCCGCGGGCGCTCGAGGTGGAAGCGGCCTGCATGGAGCGAGCGGGCGGTCGAGGAGTCGCCGATCGTTCAGGAACCATGCCGGAGGAGGCGGAGGCGGAGGCGGAGGAGGAGGAGGAGGAGGAGGACAAGGACGACGAGGAGGGGAGGGGGAAGAAGAGGAGTAAGAGGAGGCGGCGGAGGAGGAGGAGGAGGCGGACGAGGACGAGGAGGAGGAGGAGCAGCAGCAGCAGCAGCAGCAGCAGCAGCAGAAGGAGAAAAACGATCCCCGCGGTGTCGGGAACCCATGCAGGGGCCGTCACGACACGACCCTGCCGCACCCCGCTCCCCGTGCGCGGCCCGGCCGCGGGCACACCCGTCGCTCCGCGGCCGAGCGCTGGCCGCAGGCACGCGCTGACGCCGGCCGACGTTCCTCCTGAAGTTCAGGAGGGGAAAACACACAGATAGAAGTAATCGTCCATTCCCAGGAAAAATGGGAACATCTGGGAAGAGGGGGGAAGGCAAACACCCAGAAGATGTAGGAACATATGGGGAATCCTTTTATTAGTGTGTATTTATTTGCGCGTCCCAGGGCCCCTTCCGACGTGGGCTCCCGCAGCCTGGGCAGCACCACGCTCGGCGCCGCTGGTGCTCCGCGTGCCCGCCGTGCGCGGAGCCCTCCGCGCCCGCGCTACCGCCGCGGGGTGGTCGTGGCTGCGCGGCGGCGCACGCCAGGTCACGGAGCTGGTGCGAAGCCGGCCCGCCCCCCGTGCTTCGAGCGGGGGACCGACCAGAGGACCGATCTGCCCCAGCAGTGAGGTGTGCTTCGAGTCTCCGGAGTGCGCAGAGCGCCCCGCGCTGGTCTTCGAGCACCATGCGTCTGTGCCGTAACCTCGGCGGGGGAGTTGGTCTTAGGGTAAAATCCATTCCGCAGCCGATCCCCTACTCGAGTGCTGGCGGCTCCTCGGGCACCGCTGTGGTTGGCCGCCGCGGGCCCAGACGCTGGCTTCGGCGCGCGCGCGCGAGGTGCCGGGGCCGCCGCCGGCGGCCAGCTCGGCCTCGGCGTCGCTCGCCTGCGGCTGGTGCGGCCGGGCCTCCCGGCTGTCGCAGTGCTTGGCGTCCTGGGTCGGCCAGGCTCGCGTGAGGCCCCCAACCCGCGCCGGACGCGCGGCCTCCTGGGCGAGGTCGCGCCGTATCCAGCGGGAGCTCCTCGGCCTCTGCACGTCTGCGGCCGCGTCGCCAGCCGCGATCCCGGCAGGCAGCTCTCCCCGCCGCGACGTCGGCGGGGTGGCGTGGGCGAGGATTTTCGGTGTCTAATATAAAGTCCTCCCCGCTCGTCGCCTGGGCATTTCCCTGGCCCGCGCGGGAAGGCGGACGCGTGTCCGACGCGCAGTCGACGACGACCTTGTTGTTTTCTTTGTCCGCTGTCCGGTGGAGAGCCGCACCGTCCGTGGAGGGGGGGACGACCCCCCCCCCGCCTCCAAGTCCCCCCTTTGATGACGGTAGCGCGAGTATGCGGGGGAGGGGGGCCCCAGCCCCCTGGCATCGCTCGGACGTGTGCATTTTTCCTTCGGCGAGGACCCTCGAGGAGCATCCTTGATCATTCCACGAAAAAGCCACGCACGAAACCGAAACAAAAAACACAGGAAATGGACGTCCGAGCGATGGCCAGGCCCCCCGGCAGGAGTGTGGCGGTGCTCGCGGGCGCGCCGTGGCGCGCGTGTCGCCTCGTGGTGCCGGTGTGTCCTCCGGTCCTTGCGCTTCCGCCTTCGCCGCCTCGGGCGCTGCCGGATCACTGGCCGCGCGTCTCTCTGGCGCTCGCTCGGTTAGGGGGCCACATGCGAACCCTACCCCTACCCCCCCCCGATTTCTGAGGGGGAGGGTGGAGTTCACTTCGCTCGGGAGTTCCCGAACGAAGTGAACCCCACCCTCCCCCTCAGAAATCGTGGGGGGTAGGGGTAGGGTTCGCATGTGGCCCCCTATCGGTCCTCGTGCCGCGTGTGGCCGGGCACGCCGGCTCCCCGCACGTGCCTCCAGCGGGTGGCCTTCCCCCACGTTCTGCATGTGGATCCACACGTGTGGTTCTGGTTCACGATCTCCTCAATTCACCCCGTCAACCCTCGTTACACTCCCACTCCTTCCTTTACGCCCCCCTCCCAATTCTTTTCGCACCCCTGCCCCCGCACTCTCCGCAACCTCCGCCCGCACCCGTCCGCTGATCCCTTCTCCGCACTCCGTTGAGGTTCCCCCATCTCTCGCCGCTCGCCAGCATCCACGGAGCCCCTGGCCTGCGGCGAGTGGGCCCGGACTCTCGATCGATATTCTTGTGGCCTTCAGGAGGATTCGTAAATTACGCAATATGTGCGTTCCCGGTGCAATGCACCATTGAAATTGATTTAGTATTCGCGTCCCCGAAGCAAGAATCCTGGCAAATTACGCTATATTCGCGTGTCCGAAGCCATACACCTTTCTGTGCATTATGCAATATTCGCGTCTCCGACGCCATACACCTGCGTAAATGAAGCAATCTTTGCGACCCCGAAGCCATAAACCATCGTACATTATTCAATAATCGCGTGTCCGAAGCCACAAACCTTCGTAAAGTATGCGATGTTCGCGTCCCCGAAACCATAAACCAGTGTAAACTTCGTTGCATTTGCGACCCCAAAGTTTTCGGAGACGCGAATATAGGGTAATTGAGGGGTCTATGGCTTCGGGGACGCGAATGTTGCATGAGTTAGAAGCGTTTGTGGCCTCGGGGGCGCAAATGTCATGTCATTTACGAGGTTTTATGGTTTCGGGGATACGAATATGGTGTATTTTGGTATGGTTGATGGCTTCGGGGACGAGAATCTTGTGTAATTCGCAAGGGTTTATGTTCTCGGGGACGCGAACATCGCATACATTACGAGGGTTTATGGCTTCGGTGGCGGTATTTGAACGTATCCCACGGCCCCCCAGGAATTCTTCAGAGCGCGCGACTCGGGCGTGGTAATCCGACGCTTTTCAGCTCCCCCCCCTCGCGCGTTCAGTCACACTTATAACATTAACCGCAGGACGCAGAAAGTGGAACCATCACACTGGAAACAGGAAGCTGGAACTGGCGCAAGCAACAGCAAACCCTCGTCCCACAGCCTGGTGGCCCCACAACGGGGCCGGCGGATTCTTTTCCTCCCTTCGATCTCTCTTCTTGAATTCCCCTCCTCGTCTCTCCTAATGATTCATCCTTCTGGCCTTTTCTCCCCAACCTTCCTCAACCTTATCGACCCTCCTATTCTCGAAGACGCCTGCCGCGAATCACCGCCGCCCCCTGCCTTTCGGGAAGCGTCTCTGTGGCCAAACGTTTGACCCCAGCTTGGCCACTAGGAGGATCTACGTGGCTCGTGTAGGGGTCGCGTGGGGATCGCGTGGGGCTCTCGCGGTCCCTGTGCGAGGCTCGTGTGGGACTCGCGTGGGGCTTGAGTGTAGCTTGGATAAGCAATTGGGCAAGGTGTTCCCAGAACTGCCGCGGAAAGTTTTCGGAGAGCACGTCGGTCAAAAAGAAGAAGGTGAAGCATATTAGGAATCATACGACCAATATTACTAATCGTAAGAACAAGCATCATGACAATATTAAGAAAAAGAAGGGAGGGGACAGAGAACGAGAAACAGAGAGAGAGAGAGAGAGATACCGAGAGACACCGCGCACGTCGGAGGTGCATTGGCAAAGAGGTGGTGAGACAAATCCCACTGCCTGCAGCGCGGCGCGTTTCAATTGGGGCCCTTCCGGGGCCGGAACATTCATGCGGCAACATTCGGGTGAGCTCAGGGGTCACGCGCCACGCCATGTGAAATTTGAGGACTGAGCCTTAGAGGAGTAGTGAGAGGACCCGAGGACACGCCCACACCGTGCCCAGCGGCACTGTGGCGGATACACTTCTCCCCTGCCTTTTTTTCTCGGGCATGGGTTGCTTCTGTGTATGACTTGTGGAAGCCACGCAATTTGGAATGCCCAGAACGTGCTGAAGGATTGCGGTGAAGCCACTCCGACGGGACCTGCGTATCTGGGTAAATTTGAGAAGGGGGGAGATCTAGCATTTACCTCCCCTCCTGGCCCTCAGCGGTGGCGATGGTGATGGTGATGGTGATGATGATGCTGATTATGGTGATGATGCTGATGATGATGACGGCGATGATGATGGTGATTGTGATGGTGATGGTGATGATGATGATGATGATGCTGATGATGACGACGATGCTGATGGTGATGATGATGATGATGATGATGATGATGATGATGATGATGATGATGATGATGATGATGATGATGATGATGATGATGAGGAGAGGAGAGGATGAGGATGAGGATGTGTTGCTGTGCTGCTGCTGCCGCTGCTGCTGCTGCTTGCTGCT